GGCGTGACTCGGAGTGTTACTGGTCTGGCTGGAGGAGTAAGCGCGGGAAGAAGCCGGCGGACCCCGGGCGCCCTGAGGGCCCCACTGCTCCTGTCTTGGGCAGCAGGGCCGCTACGGGCCCACTGATCCCTGAAGGCACAGGGCTCTGCTTCTTCACCTCGCGAACCCCAACTTCCTCTTCTGTGAAGTGGGCCATGGCATTATCCCCATCGGCTCACCGAGACTAAACATTGAGACGGAGGTCGGACTCCCCTGGGGCATAATGGTAAAGAATCCGCTTCCCAATCCAGGAGATGCAAGAGACGCGTGTTTGATCCCTGGGTGGGGAAGATCCCCTGAAGTAGGAAATGGCAGCCCACCCCAGTATTCTTTCCTGGAAAAATCCCACGGACAGAGGAGTCTGGCGGTCTATAATCCATGGGGCCTCAAAGAGTCGGACAACGCTGAGTAACTGAACACAGAGTATCTAGCACAATGCCAACACATAGCAAGTGCTCAAAAAATTGTTAGCTTTTAAACTGACAATATTACTATTGCAGTTGTTCTGCCTTCTCAAACGTTATTTTTCTATATCATGTATTTTAACCTTTTTAGTCTACCTTTATGTGGAATCCTTGATTCCTGATGTGAAGAGCTGACTCATTTGAAGAGACCCTGGTGCTGGGAAAGATTGAAGGCAGGAGGAGAAGGGGATGACAGATGGTTGGATGGCATCACCGACTCAATGGACGTGAGTTTGAATAAACTCCCGGAGTTGGTGGTGGACAGGGAGGCCTGGCGTGCTGCAGTCCATGCGGTCACAAAGAGTTAGACATGACTAAGTGACTGAACTGAACTGATGTGAAATCCTTGCTGTAACCCTTTGATTATTTCAGGAACATTCTCTGGCCCCTTCTCCAGTTTTCTCCAACCATTTCCGAGTAGAAGAAAAGGAGGGAAAACCACAATAAAATGATATGAGCTTGTGTGGCATGGACTTTTTCCTTCTTTGCATCCTTGGTTGAGTTTCAAGGAATCCATAAAAACTTCAGCTGGAGGAAGAACTTATTGTTTTCAGCTGAAATAACATCAATGCAAATATTCTTTTTTTCCCAAGAGTGAGGGGCCAAGAAATTGAAAGAATTTGGTGTTATACTACCTTTTAAAGGAAATCTGGGTTTGGGGAGAAAAAAAAAAAATCAGGTTGGTACATTTGAAAGCAGCTGCAGGCTTCAGTTCCAATGAAAAAACTGAAGTTATTTACAAACTAGATGTTAAGTGGCTGATCTCCAAATCTCCTGGGACCCCTGCTTGCTCAGATCAAATGATGGGGAAACTAGACAAAGAAACTTGTCTGAGAAAGCTGGCTGAGAAAACTGTAGCTGATTCAAACCTGAAATTGAACTGCTGGGATGATACGTTTTCCCTCCTTAACAAGTCCGGGTTAAAATCAGCATGTGGCCTTTTCCATTCTCTCACTAGCTATTTTGGGTGATTTTTTCTGGAGGCAGACGTAATTGTTACATTTGCAGATGTTACATTTAGTTCTTCACATCCCCAATGTGTATCTTTTCTTGCTTTCTTTTTTTAAACAGGAAACAAGTTTAATTAAAAATTACATGCATTTTCTTTCCTAGGCTTTTTTTTGGGGGGGCCTGGAAAGTTTCTGTTTCAGGGGAAACTTGTCCCTGAATGTTCCCCTTAAATTCTTTTTGGGGTTTATGTAGTTCAGCGAACATGTGCCTAACACAGATCTACTTAAACCAGCCACACTGAGAGGAAATCAAGGTGCCAAGGAACCCTGTCAGGACTTAAAAGGAATGCGGGCTTCTGGGTGAGGTCAGGGCTCAGAGACAGTTTGCACCCGACGATGTCGAAGGGAAATTAGGAAGCAGGCCTTCTGCTCCAAGGTGAGTACCCATCTGCTTTGGACTGAAGGTCTGTGTCTCCCCTAAGCCCATAGGTTGAGATTCTAACCTCCATCGAGATGCTGTTAGCGGGTGGATCTTTGGGAGGTGATGACATGATTCGTGCTTCTATAAAAAGCGACCCCGGAGAGCTCTGGCACCGCCCCCCTGTCATGTGACGACAGCAGGAGGACAGCTGTCTGTGGTCCAGGAAGCAGGCTCTCAGCAGACATCGCATTTACCAGCAACTTGGTCTTGGTCTTTCTGAGCTCCAGAAATAAATGAGAAAAAATGTGAGAAACAAATGTCTGTTGTCTGTAAGGCACCCAGCTTATGGTATTTTCATTATAGTGTTCTGAACTGACTCACGCACCTCCTGGATAAAATAACTCACATTCATTGAACTGCACTGTTCTTTCATTTACTTCTCAAGGTATTTCTGTAAGTAAGGCAGGTGTTATTACTGTTGGCACATGCAGATGAACAGAGAGGCTTAGAGAATCTGAGGTCTTGTCCAGTTAACAGCTGAAAAGATGGCCTAATTCTAGACGCTTCTTCCACAACTCTCCTCTCTGTACACTTTCTAAACTCCCCAGCGTCCACTCGGGGGATGCTATGGCTCCAGTGGGACTATGCCGATCCAGCGCTCGGGGTGGGTCATGTGACACAGGCTAGCCAATCAGCACCCGGGCGAGGTGATTGGCCAGGCGTGGTCACGTGATCCAAACCGTTGCCCTCAGACCAAATGCAGGGCTTGGGCAGGGAGGCCACTCTCCTCTGTACTTTGGACGGTGTGAAACTATTTGCTATTATGGGAGGGACTGTCGGAGGGTGAAGCCAATCTTCGGGGAGCCCAGAGGTAAGAGAACTGCACAGAAATAGAGGTGACGTGCTGACGACCGCGTGGAGCTTTCTAGCGAACCGCGGCTGGGGCCGGAACCGCGTGGCCTCAGCAGTGACGCTGAGCCGTGTGTAACCAGAGGAGCTGGTCCCCGCTCCTGACAAGCGTTCCAAGCGGGCCCATCACACTGACCCAGTGGATCTTCAGCTTTCTGCCTGAACCTCGCCTGGGGAAGCTCTCCTTGGGCACCGGCTTTCCCTTAAAAATCACACACACACACACACACACATGCCCTTAAAATATAAGGAAGGGCCTACGGACACCAAAATGACTGGAGCTCGTTTATTTCCACTTGAGTCCCTTGGTTTGGAGGCATCATAGCATAACCTTAAATCAGAGAATTTTCTTTTTTTTACAGAGAGGTTTATTCAGGAGAAATTTTTAGAATACTTGATGGTGATTTTGAAACAGTGGCAAATCACTGATAAGAAATAATTAAGTTAAATTCTTTGGCAGGGCCCCTTCTCCCCCCCCAACCCTGCCGCTGGGCACACGCGGGTGACCAGCCTAAGAGAGCTTGCCGTGGGTTGCCCACCTGCCCCTAATACCTCCTGCTTCCTGTGTTGGCAGCTCCAAGCTTCACCCTAGTTATGATGTTCTGCCTGAGTTATGATAATTATCCTGGCATTTCTCCTACCAGGACGGTTTGTACTTTTTAATAGGAGAGTCATAAACAGGGAAAAACTTTCTCAACTTGCAGGAGTGAAACTCTGTGAAATGTAAGGGCAGACATATCTGGGGGCCGAGAAACACTTTTTCCTCCTTAAATCACACCCTTAGTGCAACTGCTGTGAACTCCTGTGTGCTCGGCCGAGGCAGGGTCAGCCCACGTGTGTGTGGGAGTCTCTGTTTAACTAAACCTAGAGCCTCGGAAATTTTCTTTCTCCCCCTGCCCTGTCTCTCCGGTCCTCTCTCCCCCGCCCCACCCCCCCCTCACACACGCATACACACACACTGTCAATGAATTTTAAGAAGAGAGCAAAGAATAGAAAAAGGAACAGCTGAATAGTGGAAGATGAGATGTGCACTGCGTCTTCCCTGTCCCCATCTTTGGAAGGCGGCGACAGCTGTCCTGAGCCATCTATGGAACCTGTGAATTCTCGGACCCCACCCGGGGCCCCTACTGGATGTGGGGATGTTTCTGGAAAGGGAACGGGGAATGTCTGGCTGGGAGGAATGGAGAAGGACCAGCAGTCCAGTCTGCTATCTGGATCCACAACAGTTCCCCCCGCCCCCGGCCACGTGTGTGCCCTGAGCTTTGCCCCCGAGCCTGGCCTGGCCACAGCAAGCCTTTACCCCAGAACATTTTAGGCATCAGCGAGAACACTGCTGTAATTTTGTCTCTCCACAACCCAGGAAACCTCAGATGCTGGGTTTAAGGTTTTGATTCACCAGGCTTGCTATTCCGGGAAGTTCAATTACAGACAGATGGTAATTAATAGCAACGGGCATTTTAAAACCATGCATTTCTTTCCTCTTTTCATTGCTAACACAGTGGCACCTTGACGGTTGTAAACAAGACGGTCAACCCCAGTCTCCCAACTCCAGCCCCTTTGCAGGAGCAAGAGGGACAGAAGCAGAAGCGGGGAGCAGGAGGGTGTGGAGGGGGGCAGGGCCCCCCAGGGATTCTGCACTTCCAGGGACAGGAGACCTCCGGGCGCCCCATGGCCTCTGGCAACAGCAGGCGACCTCATCGTTTATGGGGGGCGTTGAAGGAGGTGGCTCTGTGTGTGCGTGATTTGGCCCTGGTGGACATGTGAAATTTTAATATTTCAGGGCCCTGCAGGCTCCTTGAGGGCAGAGACAAGGTCTCTTTTGTCCCCTGGTGTAGCCTAAGTGCTGAGCAGAGGGCCCGGTACGTGAGTGGCCGGCAGTGACTTGCGGGGTGAATTAATGAGCACGCGCAGGAGAGCCAAGGTGTGCCGGGGCCAGGACAGCCTCACTCCAGGATGAAGTTATCAGGAGGTTAGTTTAGGGGAGACTGTGATGTCTGCGTGTGAGGTTTCACCAGCTTCCGGGCCTCACGTCCAGTGTGGGGCTTCCTGGAAGAAGGGACGGCTCACCCCCAGCTCTGCCCTTGCAGGAGGGCCGTCACCTTCCTGCATCTCTCAGCATCACTTATGCTGTGGCAGCCCGCGACTCTGTGGGCAGAGATGCTCACGCTATAGCTACAGGGCTGTACCAGGATTCTTAAACGAACCACGAGGCACTCCTTGTGGGCCAGATTCTTTATTTGATCCTGGCCTCCCAGGAGCAGGAAAGAGGTGAGCTTTGTCAGGAGAGCACTCGGGGGTGAGAGACGGTCCCTCAAGACTGCTGGGTTGACCCCCAGGAGCTCCTGGGAGGCGGATACTCTGGGGCCTTTGTTGCATCCGTGGAGTGCGGGGACCTCTGGTCCTGAGGCTGACATCAGCACCAGCCCCTTCCGGGAGGCTTGCTCTGTGGTCCGCTGGTCCTCCCTCTCGGCAGGGTCCGTGGGAGGAGATGCTGTTGCCACAGGACAGCTGACGGCGCTTCGAGATGCTCAGGAATAGAGGACGGTGGCGTTGGCGCAGGCCACAGTGGCATGGTCCTGGTTGTAGAGCTCCAGCAGGACCTGGTAGTCCCCCTGAGGGGCACGGGGAAGCAGCAGCAGTGAGACCACAGAGCCGTCACCTCGCAGCGGGCGCTACCGAGCCCTCATGGGCGGCCTCCGCGCTCGACCCTGGGGGTTAGGTCAGCGGGACAAACCGCGCCCGCCCCGCGGGCCCCCAGGCTGGCCGGGAGAGCGGAGGGCGCCCGGGATGGCTGGCTGCGCCTGAGATGCCCGTGCTCCAGACGGCGCTCCCGCGATGGGTGGGCCGATAGGGTGGTGGGGTGGCTGGGGCTGGTGTGCGGTTTTGAGTAGGGTGCTCAAGGCAGGTCCCCTGAGCGGGTGACCTTGGGGCCAAGACCTGAAGGAAGTGTGGGAGCTCGCCATTCCCCTGGAGGCTGGGGGCCCCGCATTTGAAGAGGCGGATGGGACTCCCGGCAGGAGACAGGAGGAGGCAGGGGACGGCCCCGAGGGCTGTGGGTAGGGGGCGCTGGCCTCCACGCCAGGGGGTGGCCTGTCCTGACGTGGCTGTCGGCAGGGTCCCTCGTTGGAAGGAGACGGGGTGGGGGGGGGACGCGGAGGAAGCGGTGGGCCAGGTAGGAGGCGCTGCAAGAGCCAGGCGAGAGGTGGGGAGGCCAGGCGAGAGGCGGGGAGGGTTCGGAGCAGCTGGGGGAGTGGGGAGAGGTGGGCATCCTGGCTGGATTTGCAAAGAAGAGCTGGGATGGTTTGTCGAGGAGACCCACGTGGGTGGGGAAGAGAGGGGTGAAGGGTGACCCCAAGGATGCTGGCCTGAGCAACAGGAAAGACAGGGTGCTGTGTGCTGAGACGGAGGAGACAGCTGGGGGGCAAAACGCCACGGCCCGGAACCCGAACGCGCCACTAGAGAAAGTGTTCCTGCCTTTCAGGGGTCCTTTCTGGCCACAGCCGGTCACAGAGGAGCCCCTCTGCCTGCGGTCAGGGAAGGCCAGCCAGGCTGTGAGTGGCGCAGCAGAGAGTACCCGGGCAGGAGCCACGTCTGCAGTGATTGTGGCCGAAGCTGGTGGCTGTGGGTGCTCTGTCCTGAGGAGAGAGGCTCTGTGTGGCGGAGGGTGGAGGGCGGAGGAAGCTCCTGGAACTCTTGGCCCATCTCTGAGGAGCCGGTCACCCAAGGGAAAGCATGTTAGTTGCTCAGTTGTGTCTAACTCTTTGCAATCCCATGGACTAAAGCCCGCCAGGCTCCTCTGTCCATGGATTCTCCAGGCAGGAATACTGGAGTGGTCTGCCTTTCTCTTCTCCAGGGACTCTTCCTGACCCAGGGATCAAATCCAGGTCTCCTGCGCTGCAGGCAGATTCTTTACCATCTGAACCACCAGGGAAGCCCCCATCCAAGGAAGGGAGGGTGTTTAATCTGTATCAGCCAGAAGGCAGGGCCAGATCAGACCACTGGATGGATGGTCCATGACTGGTCTCAGGCTAGGAGAGAAGAACTTTCTAGCAATTAGCAGAGGCCCAGGAGCGAGCGGGTCCCCGAGCACTGATGGGGTCTCGGGTGTGAGCGCTGCTGAAGGCGACCTTCGGCACCTTCCCCTTAAAGACCCTGGGACAGTCTAGGCTCCCTGGGTCTGCTCACACGGCAGCAGCTACGACTGCAGAAGCAGTGTTAGGGTATCAGTCGCAGAGTAAAAGCCAGAGAATCAGGTCTGGATAAAGACCAGCTCACACGTGCAGCTGAGTAGAATTTCCTCCTCACTGTCATCATCATCATCACCATCATCTACTCTTCACTGCTCCTGTGCCTTTAAGAACACGCCACACAAAATTGTTGTAACCCAACTGAATCTTTCATCCTTGCTTTAGACGCCTAACAAAGGATGCAGTATTTGAAGGAAGGGGTTCGGGATTCTGAATCCCAAGATACATTAATACATACTCTGCTCTAAGGGGTGAAAGTGTTCAGGCAGCTGTGCGCATCTGTGCGCAGGAGGAAGGGATGAGGCACAGAACACGGGCCTTTCTGCGGTTTGGATTTGCCAGGTAGGAGGCTGTAGCTGCACCCTCAGCATTAGCATGGTTCAGGTCGTACCTGCAAGTTGGCAGCCAAGTTGGAAGCTTATAGAGTCTCTAAATTCTAAGTCAGAAAGCAGCTGCCGTAGACAGATGCCGCTGCAGGCGGGACTTCAATGGGGCCAAGGACTGGTTGTGAGAAAAAGAAAATAATACCGACACACAAGACTAGCGGCTGAGTGGGAAGTTTCCAGTTAAGCAGGAGTGGAATTAGCACAGAGCCCACCTCTGGGGGTTTGGTGGGAGGAGGGGGGACCTGGGGAAGGTCTGAAACCAAAAGTCTGTGCACCATTTCTGTCCCATGTTAGGAAGCAGCGTTTCTGCGGCCTGCAGGCTGGCGGCCGGCCAGGGGAGCCTGGGCTGGCCGGGCTGGTCTCGGGCCAGCAGAGGAGCCCAGGTCAGGATTAAGGCCTCCAGCTGCCTGTGCAGCTCACGTGATGGTTCACACGTGTCCGCTCTGGTTCTCTCCCCTGCAGGCCTGGCTTGGGGGGTCAGGATTGGCCAGGTTCCTGCTCCATGGTCCCAGAAAGTCTTAAAGAGGTAGGAGGACCGGGCAGAGGGCTCCTGAGGATGCTTGAACAGGCAGGTGGGGGCAGGCAACCTGACCACTGTCTTGGCCTCACAGTGGACAACATCTCAAGGAGCATCGTTAGTGGGCCATGGATACAGGTAACGCATTCACCCACGTATCCTATGTGGATGCAATAAACCTCGTTACATCTGGGCTTCATTTCTTTCAAAGCGATGCTATGACTTTTAAGTTCTTTGTATTTATTGCAGTTGTTAAGAGTAACTGCTTTTTTCTAAAGTCAATAATGCAACACAAGATTTAATTGCTTTCAAATTTCGAGTTGATGGATTGGGAGTGCATGGGGGAGGATCCACAGAAAAATGGAGAAAGAAAAAGAATTCAAATAGCAAAGATTTAAAGGAAAAACTTTGTGGGAGGAATTTGGTCTCACATCCTAGAAGGGAAGAGAGTTTGCACAACTTGCATGTTACCCTGAAAGGCCCAAGGAGAAGACTCTGGAAAGCTGGACCTGCCCCCAGCTGCCAGAGCATCGCTGGAGAAAGACCAAGGTGGTCTGAAGACTTGGCGGCTTGAAGCAGAAGAACCCAGAGGCTGGGACAGAAAGGGAACATGCCCAGGGGATGAAACGAGTTTAAGAGATTCTTTATGGAGAAGGAGGTCCTCTCGTAGAGTCATACTCAGGCTTTGGAAGATGAAAAGGATGAAATTGAAAACCAAAAAATGAGACTGACTACATGTCTGTGATTCTCGTGATGTTTTCCAAAGGATGCTCTTAGGAGTAGCTATTGAGCATGATCGCTATGTCCAAGCCGCTGGAATTCAGCTGTTTCATAAAGTAATGGTGTTTTAAATAAAATGGAATTGTTGGAAAAACAGTGAAGGCGCAAGATGTGGGCATTTTATTTATGGGGTGGGAGCTTGTGAGCGCTGAGCAAGCACGGTAACTGGGGAGCTTAGCGCGTTCTGGGCTGTCTCTGTTGCCTCCTCTGAACGGCCAGCCCGCCTGGGGCTGCCTCCCTCACCTCTAACATTTCTGGCCACGCGGAGGCCCCTGGACAGAGTCCTCCAGCAGGACAGGGTCTCAGAGCCGCTCTCTATGGGCGCTGTCTCTACAAGGGGTGCCCCAGGGTCCCACAGGACAAAAACGTTAAATGCCAAAGCGCCAAAGCCCGAGCGTCAAGCTTTAATTAGCAAGTGCCCACGATGAAGTAATGGCTTCGCCCAGAGAGGGTCTTCTCGTGGCGGGCTATGCAAAACCTTGAAGATTTTCATTTAATTCCCTCTCCTCCTCCTCTGCTGTCTCTCCCCCACCCACCTCCTCCTTTAAGAAACTGCTCGATACAATAATTAAGGAAAAAAAGAAAACAGCAAACCAAACCCTTACCTTGGGAATTTCAAATCCAGGACTATTGATAGGGCCGGCATAATAAATCTGCTCTGAAAAAACAGACAAAACGCACATCACGTCATTCAGTCATCCAAAGTAAGATTGACTTGCTCTATTATCTGTGCTTACTGTGCCCTGGGGAGCCAGTGATGGAAGGAAAAGGTCTCTGACTGTGGTACATAAATCCCTAAGTGAGACAGAATCCAGGCCGTAGCAAGTAGCAGGAGACACGCAGGTCACGAGAGAGCCAGGCAGAATGAGGGTGCAGAGGCTAGGCTGGCCCTGGGATGCTCAAGGTTAAATCCTAAGACAACTTCCCGTAACTGATCGGCCCTGGACAGTTCCGACCCCTCTGGGCTCAGCGCCCTCGTTTTTAAGGCGGGTATAGTAAGGACAACAACAGAGTTGCGAGGAATGAAGAGAGTTAATCCGTATAAAGCACTGATAACGACATTTGGAAAGCTTTGCTAAAGGTACGAACAGAGATGCTGCGTTTGAGACAATGCTTGGTATGGGACGTTTGGATGACAAGATCGCCCCGAGGCTTCTCGCTGATTCTGTGACTTCTCGGTAGCCTTTCAAGACGATCCCTTGGCTGCTGTTGGCAGGAGTGGGTTTCTGCTGCCTGTGGCTCAAGAACCATGACTGCTAGGACCACGAACCACTTAAAGTCCGTCAGGGAACGGACGCAGCTGACAGGAGCAGAGCCCCAGCACAGCGGGACTGCGCCCCTCCCCATCAGGTGCGGCTGGACTCGGCTTGGATTCCCTTGGACGCGTTGTATACCGACCTCATGATTCTGTTTGGTGTTCTAAGGCGACACGGTGCCAACGTCTGGGCCCTGGAGGCAGGACCCAGCTCTCCTCCCCACTGAGTGTTGGTGGACGAGTTGCCTAACTCCCCTGTGAGTCAGCACCTGCACTTGCGACACAGAAGCAGGAACGCCTCTCCTGCCGGCCGCAGAGAGGACTAGGAGCTCGTGTGAGCTCGTGGAGGACGGGGCCCCGGGCAGGGCAGAACCAGCAGGTCTTCCCCGTCCAGTTACTCACCTTACTCACCCAGTGTGAGGGAGAGGGACGGGAAGGTGCCCGTGGGGGATGCGGAGAAACACACCAAGGCTGGGTTTGGGAACCTTCTTCCTGAGCCAGTGTGAACAACTGCTAAGTTCTACTGGTGTCTTCTTTTTTTACTTCCGTTTTAAAAAATGGATGAGTGCTGTTTTTTGAAGCATACCAAACAAATGCTATTTAGCACTTTGTTACACTCATTTAATGCTCCGAGATCTGCTGATTTGGGCTTCACTATGAGGGACCTTTGCAGGATGAGAGATTGCCATGAACTTGGTCTTCACTTTACAGTTTCACCTGGAGCTTTTCTGTGGGCCCATGAAGTTCCTGAGAATTGCTGCAAGTAACTCGCAAAACTTTTTTTTTTTTAACCTGATGAAATAACACCTAAAATTAAATTCTTGCTCCTTCCTTTTCCAGATCATCTCGGGTTCTGAGATTCCTTTAATTAACATCCTCACACTCCAGGGCTATAAAAAGAGCCACGTTATATCTGTACCCACTTCTTACTTTCCTACTTTGGGAATCCTGATCAGTTTTTAATATGGAGTGGATTGAAATTTTCACCCTCTTGCTTCTTAATACTTGAAGTCATTTCTGCCAATCGACTTTTTTGGGGGACCCAGATATTTGAGTGATTGGCACACAGTATATTTTAAGAGAGGAAATGGATTTTAAAATGTGGAAATAAAAGCTCCCAAAGAGTCGTGGACCAGACGGCTGCCCTTTCACTAAGAGAGTAATCTAATGTTATTTAAACTTGGCCATATTCATTGTGCACTTGGAATGGGGCATTTATAAAACTATGAAATGAGCAACCTTCTAAGGCTTACTCACTCAGGGTCCTGCCACGCCCCCTCTCCAGGCATTTAGAGATGTGCTTGTTAACCCTCGTCTTTCTGCCCTAATATCACATTGGCTTCCTCTCAACGACAAACTCCTATAAGGACTCGTGGACAATCTTAGCCTCTTTCTCTGCCAAGAATGATTCCAACAGACACATGGGGTATGTCCCCCAGTTCTAGCCAGATAGTTTCTCCTCTGGGCAGGGGACTTGGCTGGTGGGAGCTTTTGGGGGTCTGGGAAAGGGCAACAAGAACAGTCCAAGGAGGGAAACCTTTTCTGAGCAGCGGTAGGATCCCCTAACAGAGACACTTATATCTTGCCCCAGCTACACCAGCAGCTGTATCACCCGTGAAGTTCTCAGAACTTCTTGGAGGGCCTTTTCATTGGAAACATACAGAGTTTGAGTTTTCCTCTGATGAGGCATAAGTACCTGGCCTCGTCACAACGTCAGGGTATGCGGAGGTCAGACAAGCTGTGCTGGTTCTCCATTTGGATGCTGTACCGGCTACTAATGCCCACTCCCTTCTCCTACAAGATGTCCAAGTCCTGATTTCTAGAACCCATAGATACCTTACAAGGCAAAATGGATTTTGCAATTGCAGTCAGGTTCAGGATTTTGAGATGGGGAGATAATCTTGGATTGTCTGGGTGAGCCCAGTGTAACCACAAGGGTCCTCATAAGCTGGAGAAGATTGGAAGAAGAAGGGGGTGTGAGGATGGAAGCAGAGAGGAGGGAAGTGGCTACAAGCCAAGGAACGCCAGCAGCCTCCAAAAACTAAAAACCTCAAGGAAACAGATCTTTATCCATCCTCTGAATTCTCCAGAAGGAACACAGCCCTCCTGACTCTGCTTTCAGGCTTCTGGTATCTGGAATCGTAAGAGTATCTTTGTGTGGCAGGTCACTAGGGTCGCAGCAGCAGCAGGGCGCTGATACACTGACCTTGGGTTCAGAGGGGAAATGCTAGGTGGTTGACCGCAGAAGGGCCAAGAGTGGTGGCTTACATACACTTGAAGTGAAGTGAAAGTCGCTCAGTCGTGTCCGACTCTTTGCGACCCCATGGACTATACAGTCCTTGGAATTCTCCAGGCCAGAATACTGGAGTGGGTAGCCTTTCCCTTCTCCAGGGGATCTTCCCAACCCAGCGGTCAAACCCAGGCCTCCTGCATTGCAAGCAGATTCTTGGGCTCCCAGCAAAGACGTCTTTGGAACTGTGACATCCGCGTACTCTAGGATTTCAACAAAAGAGAAGGTACCTGGGCTAGAGAGTGAAGTTTCCAACACACGTTTCAACGAAACTCAGGACAGGTGGTTAAGACAAACGTAGGGCCACATAGAACCTACCAGGTCAGTAATGCTCAGTACAGCTTTCCACAAAGGTGTGACTATCCTGTGTCTGCATCATTAAGTAAAGCAGCTGCTGTCCACACATGGCCACTGAAAACCTGAAAGGTGGCTAGTGTGGCTAAGTGTATAATTTAATTTAAGCATAAGTGATTTCAATAGCCCCCCCGTGACGAGCAGCTATCATACTGGACACATACTGGGGTTTTAGGTCAGCACTATCTAATGGAAATATCACATGAGCCATGTCTGTAATTTGCATTATTTTTAAAAAGGAAAAAGAAACAAGTGGAATTAATTTAACAACACATGTATATTAATCCAAATATTAAAATCATTATAATTTCAATGAGCCTATTTGCAAAGCAGAAAATAAAGACACAGACATAGAGAACAAACGCATGGACACCAAGGAAGGAAAAGGGGGTGGGATGGTGAACGGAGGGCCCAGCATGACATATGCACACTGTGGATATTATGCATAAAATAGATGACGAATGAGAACTTGCAGTATAGCACAGGCAGCTCTGCTCGGTATCCTGTGGTGGCTTAAGTGGGAAGAAAACCCGAAAAAGAGGCATAACTGTGTGCGTGTGGCTGATTCACGTCACTGTGCAGCTGAGACTAACACAGAATCGTAAAGCAACTAGACTTCAACTAAAACATTTTTTTTTTGGCAATGAAAATGTAATTAATACATTGCATACAAAATGCAAATTTTGAATTTAATTTTTTAAAAAAAATCTAGGTCCCTGCAAGGAGATCCAATCAGTCCATCCTAAAGGAGATCAGTCCTGGGTGTTCATTGGAAGGGCTGATGCTGAAGCTGAAACTCCAGTACTCTGGCCACCTCATGTGAAGAGTTGACTCATTGGAAAAGACCCTGATGCTGGGAGGGATTGGGGGCAGGAGGAGAAGGGGACGACAGAGGATAAGATGGCTGGATGACATCACCGACTCGATGGACATGGGTTTGAGTAAACTCTGGGAGTTGGTGATGGACAGGGAGGCCTGGCGTGCTGCGGTTCATGGGGTGGCAAAGAGTCGGACTTGACTGAGAGACTGAACTGAACTGAACTGAACTGAAAGGCAAAGAAAGAGTTAAAGAACTTAAAGCCATTGACAGTGAACACTTATCTGGCAGAGTGAGACCAGTTAACAGTTAAAGGGAAAAGAAATGACGATGCCTATAAGGCAATGACATGCATATCAAAGTTAAGTTAAACTTGAAAAAACTGATCAAGCTTTTCAAAATCCTTTTTCAAAAATGGCAACCTTTATGATCATATTGAAAGTAAAACATGCATGAATTAAAATATGCCATTAATAATTTTATCGAAGTTATGTGAATCATCTCCACTTGAAAGATTTTTTCAACAAATTTTTTAAAAAGACTATAATTTCAATATATTACCAACATAGAAAGTATCAATGAGATTTTTAAATTCTTTTTTCATACTATGCTTTGTACAAAGTCTTCAAAATTCAGTGCAAACTCTGCACTCAGAGCTCATCTCACTTGGATGGGCCCCATTTCTGATTATGAGGAGCCACACGTGACCAGTGGCTCTTGGACTGGTCAGGGCCAACAACGGAGCCATGGACGGCCCAGGAGGTGAAATGATTTTCTCCAACTTCTTTCCTCCTACAAGAACTGTGTGTCTTTGTCACCCAGGTTTTCTCTGTAAGAGCTGTAACTTCTGGCAGCAAGAAGGGAAGGAGGATTTAATTTTTTTTTTCCTTACCAATCTATTTTTGGATTTCTGTGGATAAACACTTAATATAAGTCTCAAAATACAGCTTGTGAATCGGTGGGCTGATTGCATTGCCAGAAGGAGAAGCGAAGAGGATGGCGATGGGAAGAAAGAGGAGAAACTGAGACAACCTTCAGAAATCCGGGACAGCCACAGGGAAGGGCGACGTGACTGGAAGTGATGGAACAGACATCACAGAGGGCAGTCCTCCTCAGGCTGGGGGGTCGGGTGTTTGTGCACACCAGAGCTCTCAGGATGTTTGTTAAAATGCAAATACCAGCAACCCACGGGGTCCAAGTTTTGGGGTGGGACAGGAGAGCTGCCAGTCCGCCTTCTCAAATAGCTTCCTAAACGATGATTACACAGAATTGTGAGTACTGGCTCCCCTGGTGGCTCAGACGGTAAAGCATCTGCCTGCAATGCCAGAGACCCGGGTTCACTCCCTGGGTTCGGAAGATCCCCTGGAGAAGGAAATGGCAACCCACTCCAGTGTTCTTGCCTGGAGAATCCCATGGACAGAGGAGCCTGGTGGGGCACAGTCCATGGGGTCGAAAAGAGTCAGACACGACTGAGTGACTTCACTTCAATCAGATTTAATGAAACTCCGCAGCAGGCTGAGAATGTGTAAAGGATGCCGTATTACCTTAGAGAATTAAAAACACTGTGGTCCTTTGTTGCTGTTCCATTGCTAAGTCATGTTTGACTCTCTGCCACCCCATGGACTGCAGCACACCTGGCTTCCCTGCCCTTCACTGTCTCCCAGAGTTTACTCAAGTTCATGTTCAATGAGTCAGTGATGCCATCCAACCATCCCATCCTCTGCCGTCCCCTTTTCCTCCCGCCTTCAGTCTTTCCCAGCATCAGGGTCTTTCCCAAGGAGTAGGTTCTTTGCATCAGGTGGCCAAAGTATTGGAGCTTTAGCATCAGTCCTTCCAATGAACACCCAGGACTGATCTCCTTTAGGATGGACTGGTTTGATATCCTTGCAGTTCAAGGGACTCTCAAGAGTCTCCTCCAACACCACAGTTTGAAAGCATCAGTTCTTTGATGCTCAGATTCTTTATGCTCAACTCTCACATTCGTACATAACTACTGGGAAAACCATAGCTTTGACTATCCAGACCTAGGTCCTATGTCACTATTAATCTCAATATTCTGGGCTCAACAAAAAGAACTGATGGATTTCAAAGGACAAGTTCAACGTATTCTTGGCTCATTTTCAAGAGGCTTAATTTTGAGGATGGAGGGAAGCTCCCAAGGCTACAGGATTCCTTAACAGGCAATATGTCTTTCTCTTCCTTCCTTCCTTCCCTTCTTTCTTGTCTATCTTTTTTTTCTTCTTTCCTTCCTTTCCTTCTTTCAGCTTAAAAAAAAAGTCTAAGGTGATCATTGTTTCTATTTTTTTTGTAGATCAAGGGTGGGTGTTTTCTGCCAATGCAGTAATAAACCACTCTTTTTCTTGATTCTTTATGGACTTGCAGCAGCGGCAGCTGCCCAGTCACTGCAAGTAGGAAACCCACAGCTGCTTGAAGTGTGCAGACAAAGAATAAAACATGAAGAGAAGAAAGGCTGATGGCTGAGTTGCTGCTGCTTCCAAATTCCAGTTTCGTGAGAACTGCAGGCGGGGGTCTCTCCGCAGAGGTGGAAGCGGGCTGCCGGGGCTCTGCTCTCTCAGCCAGAAGAGGATATCCAACCTGGACCCAAGTCAGGTTCTGGCCGCCTCCGAGGAAAAAGGGTCTTAACCTTCTAAGCCCCCGAGGCTCTGCCGCCTCCCCAGGCCTTGTTAAAATGCAGACTCCCACTCTGAGATTGATGACTTCAGGGCCTCAGAGCCCTTGCTTGAGAAATCCCTCATCACCTGCGGGCAGCTGCTGCCATTTATCACTTACTGAGTCCTGTGTGCCAGACTCTGTCCTGAGGACTTTGTATAATTGTCCAATTTATCCCTACTAAGAATCCCATGAGGTCTGTGTGGCGATGTGGAAACTGAGGCTCAGACACTCTGAGTAATTCTGCCTGAAGTCACACAGCCACGAGGGAAGCAAAGGTCTGGTTCCGTGTAAGCCTGGCTTCCAGCCCTGTGTTGGAACTGAACACAAAGCCCAGGGACCCGCAGGACCGAAAGCCTGAAAAAGCGAAGCAACTTGGAGACACAGAAGTCTTGCTGTTGTGTAGTCGCTCCGTCGTGTCTGACCCTCTGCGACCCCACGGACTGTAGCCCGCCAGGCTCCTCTGTCCATGGGATTTCCCAGGCAAGAAGACTGGAGTGGGCTGCCATGCCCTCCTCCAGGGGACCTTCCCGACCTGGAGACCGCATCTGCATCTCCCGGGTCTCCTGCATCTTTACGGCTCAGCCACCTGCGCAGCCCAAAGATAAGTAGGTCCCGCTGAGATCTGGACTCAGATCGCTGGATTCAAAGTCCAGAGTGCTAACCATTACACCACAGGGCCCCTAAGGAGGTCCACAACGGCCCAGAAATCACGGATGTGCAAACAGGTAGGGGACGCTACCCCAGGGAAGATGCATTTTAGAAGTGAGGCCTCAGACACAGCCACTTGCTCCCCTTCTTTTAGAGCAGAAATCAGTGGCTCGGTTCCTGGGACTGCATCTGTTACTAACATGTACCGTGAATGCAGGACAGTTAAAAGCGAGGCCCCAGGTGGGGCTGCGGCTGTGCTGACAGAGGCTGTCCGGTCCTCGGCACAGATTACCAGTGGGACTCTTGAAGGGGGCCTTTGCCTGGAAGGCGGTTTGTCTTGTTTTCTACTACAGCTGTGTGAGGTATAAGGCATTTTGTAGAAAGTGTTTGGGGCATTTTTTCCAAATCTAGGTAATTTCCAAATTTCCTTTGTTTCTTAGACCCACAGAAAGCAGCACTTGGAGACGGTGAGGCGGCGGAACTCTGGCTGATGAAACGTGAGCTGTCAGGACTGACTTTAAACAGCTAGAGACAGTGCGACTGAGAGGCCTTTGCAATCAGTAATCTCGGGGCATGGCCAGGCTCACGTGCTCAGCGTGAACCTGGACAGACAGGAAATGCCCACGTTTGTGAAAGGGAGGGCAGGGAGGCGCCTAGCCCGAGCGCCCACTAAGCTTCCTGCTTTGTCTTCCTTGCAGGTGTGAGATCAGTGACCTTTGTCGCGGAAGCCCTACAATTCCAGCTGCTGTTAGGAATGACAGCTGCCTCCTGGGCAAGGTCATGTCAGACATGAAAAATAGCTCTCAGGGGATCTTCTCTGTTATGTATTGAAATTCATCTAATTATGATGTACTCCCCGCTTTGGACAAACACTTAACGCAGGTAAGATCGGACTGACACAAAAGATGAACCAGGGAGCAATTATTTCTTTGACTAAAGGACTCATCAGCTTGCAAAAGGCGTCAGGGTCATGTTTATCTTATCTGATCTTGTTTATCTTATCTTGCAACTCCAAGGTTGCAATGCCTTTAAAATTAAGTCCATATCTAATGTTTTCATGTAGCTTATCACACTGGTTATTTTTCACAAGGTGCCACTGCTAACACTTAACAACAATTTTCTCTTTGCAAACACCTGATAAACACATTTCATTTGATGTCCACACTCACCCTGTAAGGCATGTCCTGTGGGATGGGCTGTGTGGTCATTTTTATACAACATGTGATGATACATGAGGGTAACCTTATCCGCAGGGGAGGGGGCACCCTAGACGCCGGTCTGGATATCATGAACTTGGCTGCAAGCTCCTGTCCATCTCTCTCTGGGCCCCAGCCGGCCATCAGCCAGCCAAACACCTACCTCCTTTCCTTCTTCCACAGAAAGAAAACTTGGGTAGATCCACTTCACAGATGGGGTAGGAGAAATTCAGGATGGACAGTCCTTGACTGAAGAGCGCGATGTCCAGAAACAGCTGCTCGATGTCCTCCCCTGGGGGCAAAGGGGAAGCCAGCTTTCCTGTTAGTGTGGGTTTCGCTGAGCGTCAGAGTGTGCAGAAGTCATAAAAGCCTGAGCTGATGAAGGGCCTTTCCTCGCCAGAAATCTGCGCTATATGGCGAACAGCTTTCTGTTTTGGTAAAACAGCATTTGGGCAATGCGACTGGGACAAGTCTGTGGATGAAAGACAGCCCTTTCATGGACTTCACCTGCCTAGAGCAGCTAGCTGACCTGCGCCCCTACCCTGATGCCGTGGACCCTGGGGACCTGCCTCCTACGGATCCTCAGCTATGTGGTCCCAGGTGCCTCCCCCGAGAGCGGCGGGCTACGGTCCATCCTGCAACCCCCACCACTGATGCCCATTATCACACAGAAAGCTTCTGGCCACTCTGCACGGCTGGCTCCCGACTCTCTGCCTTTTTCTCCTTTCCTCCCTGTTTAGATTCCACTCATTCCCTTCCTTCTAGTCCTGTTTCTCCCTACAGCATTCCTGGAGCTGTTGGTATGGAGCCCAGACACTGTGCAAGGTCTGGAAATACCGAGATGCCTGAGAGGTCTTGGCATCCGGGAATGTTCCCTCCATTTCTCTGGAAAGAGTCCACGTGCTCAATTTATTAAATCTTTCTGCTCTGGTTTTGAGGAAACTGTGAGAAAGGAGAGAGTCTAGCAGCTATAGCAATATTATGACCAACTGTGACAACATGGCCACGTAAAAATAAAAATAAGCAACCTGGAAGCCTTCTGGCTCGTTGACTCAGGGGACAGAGAAGATGTCCTGTATCTTTGCCCGCGTCCAGGTTTAAGAGCTTAGATGAGCTATTTGTGAAATGAAATAATGCAAAGATAAACCATGCTGCTGGCACCAGACTTGTTTGTGGCTGAGACAACTAAGCAAAAAAGCCTTCTCTTGAGCAAACATTGATACTTAGGCTCAAAATATTTTCTCTTTTTTTTTGCTGGATATACTGATTCCAGGTGCTTATAGCATCCAAATGAGTGTCTAGGGTCTCTTCTCACAAAAGAACAGCTTTAAATGAGAGTTCTGCTCTATCTGGATATTACCCAGAGAGAGAAATGGAAATGAAAATAGTTAATTCCAGAGAGTGATGGGATGCAGCGGCTCAGCCACTACAGTAAATACGAATAACTGGGTGTCTGGGCCACGAAAAGGTTGTGTCATGTTTTATATTATGACAATAATGTTTACTTACTCAGAACCATTCCAAATCTAATGTTGAGATTTGGTTTTAATTGTCTGGAACACTGGTCGACAGAAAAGCCAAAATCTTGCAATGGGTCTGCCAAGAAGAAAAGGACGGGGTAGATGTGAGGACACCACACAGTCTGCAAGCTCACGCTCAAGACTCACACCCATTCTGTGCCTTTTTTCCACGTGAGTCACTGCAACGGGTTTGGCAGCACACTGCCCAGCACACTTCTTGCCGAAGTCCATGATGCTTTCAACCGCCCCTCCCCGTCTCTGCAAACCCGTCGCCGTGTTCACTCTGACAGCAGGTCTCAGGCTGAGAAATGAGCACAAGGTCCTGATGGGTGGGTTTCATCTTTTCTTTTTTTTTGCTAACTTTTTGGCCGCGCCACTCAGCACATGAGATCTAAGTTCCCCAACCAGGGCTCAAACTCGCGGCCCCTGTGGTGGAAGCGCAGAATCTTAACCACTGGGCCACCAGCAGAGTCCTGGATGGGTTCTATCTTTACTTGTTAAAACTCCGATTATTGTTTGCTTTTATTTCCTGAACTTTTGTCCTTAAAATTGATTGCCTCAAAAATTTCACAAAGTATTTTGTACTATATTTCAAACAAGGGAAAGTAGGTGCAACTTTTCAAAGTTAAGACCTGCCTTTATCACTCCATCCTACCCCATCCCATTCAACACAGCAATTGTTTCCAAATATCCCACTATCTGAAAGATATTGTGTCAAATAGAAAAGCTACAAAACCAATATTTTTTACGTATAATTTCTGCTTATTCCGAACGTCCCAGTGGCTCGTCTATGCCTTGGAGAGAGTCAAGAAATGCTCTGCTGGCCCCAAGTTCCATTTCCCACATCAGAGTCCACGCTCCATTCCCCAAGATCTTGGCAGCAACGTCAGCGCCACCCAGCAAGTTTTCCAGCAAGTTCTGGGCGCTTTCTCCTGAGTCTCCGGGTCTTACCGGTTCAGGCCGTTGTCTACAAACTAAAGTCTCTCATTCCCACATTTTTTGTGTGAAGGTTTCCCTGTGCTGTGCTAAGTCGCTTCAGTGGTGTCTGACTCTGTGTGACCCCATGGACCGTAGCCCACCTGGCTCTTCTGCCCATAGGATTCTCCAGGCAAGAATCCTGGAGCGGGTTGCCACACCCTCCTCCAGATTTCCCCCACATATTTTTCTGCTTCTCTGAGCTCTTCAAACAGCTGTGTCTGAAGTACTGTTTAAGGCCTACGAGCATGTGTGACTTTGTGCCTTGACGTTTGACTTGCCTCACAATAATTAACCTAAATGCAGACCTCCCGAAAGGCAAGAGCCAGAGTTTTGTTTCATTCGTGTTGTTTCGTTTTTAATTTCCTTTTTCCTTATGTTTCCTTCTGGGTCCCAGAGAAGACAGATGATTTTAAGTAAGGGTCTGTGTTATATGAGTTGCAAGCCATGCACTTCATGGGGTTTCCACTTAATTCTCCAGACTCCCCTGTGCCTATCGCAGAGCCTTGAGGTCAAACATGAAGTAAGCACTCCATAAATGTGCATAATGCGTGGACGAATGGGTTATGTATTAAGCTATTTTCTCTCAGCTTCAAATTAGCCTTCAGGGCTCTGCTGTGTGAAGCTGGGGGCTCTTTGCATTCACATTTCTACTTTGCCACCTGCCAGAGATGCGCCAGAAAGAGACAGGCTGAGCGGGAGAAGGACTTCTTACACTCCTGCTGATGCTGGAGCGTGTCCCCTGCTGAAGGCCTGTCGCCGGCAGTGGCGGCTGGTTCCAGTGTCCAGCTCTCTTTTGTACCTTCCTGGAATCAGCTGAGGCTCAGCTCTGCCAGCCCCAAAGCTTCTGTGGTGACGGCAACTCACCCCCTCTCCGGCTGCCTGCACCTCAGCCCCGCAAGGGCTCTGCCATCAAACTCACACATTCTAACAACCTTCACCTCTGCCCTCTGCTCACAGCCCTTGGGCGGCAGCTGCGTCCTCATTGGCTTTTTTTGTTTGTTTGTTTTTGCTTTTCTGGTTCTCTAACAACTGCTTGTGAGAGTTGGACTGTAAAGAAAGCTGAGCACCGAAGAATTGATGGGTTTGAACTGTGGTGTTGGAGAAGACTCTTGAGAGTCCCTTGGACTGCAAGGAGATCCAACCAGTCCATCCTAAAGGAAATCAGTCCTAAATAATCACTGAGAGGACCGATGCTGAAGCTGAAACTCCAATACTTTGGCCACTTGATGCGAAGAGCAGACTCATTGGAAAAGACCCTGATGCTGGGAAAGATTGAGGGCAGGAGGAGAAGGGGATGACAGAGGATGAGATGGCTGGATGGCATCACCAACTCAATGGACATGAGTTTGAGTAAACTCCGGGAGTTGGTGATGGACAGGGAGGCCTGGCGTGCTGCGGTTCATGGGGTGGCAAAGAGTCGGACTTGACTGAGCGACTGAACTGAACTGAACTGAACTGAAAGGCAAAGAAAGAGTTAAAGAACTTAAAGCCATTGACAGTGAACACTTATCTGGCAGAGTGAGACCAGTTAACAGTTAAAGGGAAAAGAAATGACGATGCCTATAAGGCAATGACATGCATATCAAAGTTAAGTTAAACTTGAAAAAACTGATCAAGCTTTTCAAAATCCTTTTTCAAAAATGGCAACCTTTATGATCATATTGAAAGTAAAACATGCATGAATTAAAATATGCCATTAATAATTTTATCGAAGTTATGTGAATCATCTCCACTTGAAAGATTTTTTCAACAAATTTTTTAAAAAGACTATAATTTCAATATATTACCAACATAGAAAGTATCAATGAGATTTTTAAATTCTTTTTTCATACTATGCTTTGTACAAAGTCTTCAAAATTCAGTGCAAACTCTGCACTCAGAGCTCATCTCACTTGGATGGGCCCCATTTCTGATTATGAGGAGCCACACGTGACCAGTGGCTCTTGGACTGGTCAGGGCCAACAACGGAGCCATGGACGGCCCAGGAGGTGAAATGATTTTCTCCAACTTCTTTCCTCCTACAAGAACTGTGTGTCTTTGTCACCCAGGTTTTCTCTGTAAGAGCTGTAACTTCTGGCAGCAAGAAGGGAAGGAGGATTTAATTTTTTTTTCCTTACCAATCTATTTTTGGATTTCTGTGGATAAACACTTAATATAAGTCTCAAAATACAGCTTGTGAATCGGTGGGCTGATTGCATTGCCAGAAGGAGAAGCGAAGAGGATGGCGATGGGAAGAAAGAGGAGAAACTGAGACAACCTTCAGAAATCCGGGACAGCCACAGGGAAGGGCAACGTGACTGGAAGTGATGGAACAGACATCACAGAGGGCAGTCCTCCTCAGGCTGGGGGGTCAGGTGTTTGTGCACACCAGAGCTCTCAGGATGTTTGTTAAAATGCAAATACCAGCAACCCACGGGGTCCAAGTTTTGGGGTGGGACAGGAGAGCTGCCAGTCCGCCTTCTCAAATAGCTTCCTAAACGATGATTACACAGAATTGTGAGTACTGGCTCCCCTGGTGGCTCAGACGGTAAAGCATCTGCCTGCAATGCCAGAGACCCGGGTTCACTCCCTAAGAGACAGGCCTGGTCATCCCCATTTCACAGATGGGAAAATAAAGACTCAGAGAGGCGGTGTTGACTTAACCAGGTTTAAGACCTAGAAAATGGCAGAGTCAGGATTCAAACTCAGACTTAAACACCAACAAATAACAAGTTGCCACCCAGTGTTGCACAGAGCAGGCACAAAGCAGAGCCGTGAAGGTGGCTGTTAATGATCTGATTAGTGAGATCACCTGCGGTATTCTGTGTGCAGACCTGCGGCATCTGGCAGTTCTGTTTCATAACTGGTTTCAATTTCAGCTTAGCTATGAGTTCACATTTGTTGGTGGGAGCATTCCAGACAGTTTAATCATCCATACTGCTGACCTGGAAGATGCATAATTGTCTGTGGTATCTGCCGTGGAAATGATCACTATGCTATTCAGCCCTGCGAATCTAATCTAAGTGCACTTTTGTTTGATGAAACTCCTATGATCTGGTCACTAATTTCCTGGAGGGATAAGCCATTTTCTCTGATGCCCATTTTACTTGTTCATCAGCATCTTTGTGCCCTCCTGGCATTTATTTTAGCTTGGAATATGGGAGCAGGGCTTAAGGAGACAATGTTTCCCGCTACGTATTTGACCCTTAGGCCAACCAACAGAGGCTTAGGAAAGTGCATCCTCAAGATTGTGAACAAATATAAGTTGTTATTTGAGGAAGGATAAAAGGGGATAAGCATGTGTCGATTAGCTAATTATCAGGCACAGAGCCACACTGTGTTGATCAATATTTTAAAGGCATAGCTGGAGAGAATAAAGTGAGGCCAGAAGAAGGAAATAAAACATCTCCCTGGTACTATAAAAATATTATTGTGAAGAAAATCATCTTAATAAGGAACAAAGTCACAAAGAAAGCAGTGGGTTGCTTCTCTCTGAGGATGTGACTATAAAACAGAAAGATAGACTGCTTAAAAAGTGATTAGGACTTTGGTGATATTTCCTAGCAGTTATTTCAATTTTATATTTGAGAGTGATTTTTTATTTATTTATTTATTTCTTGAGGATGAATCTTATACTTTAGAGTGAACATGCAGTTTGCTGTTGTTTCAGGGAAAATAACATCTGTTCCTTGTCCCCTAAGCCCACCCTCACACACTTACGGCCTTTCCCCTATTGACTAATATTTTCACTCAGGCACTTAGCATGCTCTGTAAAAAATATTTTTTATTTTCTTGTAAACCTCTGCCACTCCTCTACTAGATGCTTCAAGGCAAGCTGCCCAGCCTCAGAGCCCGGCATCACGTGCTGAGACTATACTATGTGGGACTCCTCTGCTGGTCCAGTGGCTAAGGCTTCTTGCTTCCATTGCTGGGTGCACGGGTTCAATTCCTAGTCAGGGCACTAAGATCCCACATGCCACTTGGCATGGCCAAAAAACAAAATAAATTAAATAAAAAACAAAGACATTCATAAGAAAAAGATTATACTAGGTTCCAAGTAGTAGTTTGTCGAATGAATAACAGGGATTATATACAGTAAACTCATCAAGAACTTGAAAG